CAGAATATCTTTTGGGGATGACTTAACCTCTAAATAAGTTACTCTCACTGCTTTGCATACTCTTCTCCCATACGAATCCTGGGAAGACCGCACAAGACCTGTTAAATTTCGACTACTTGCCCTTGCAAAGTGTACCCAGAATGTTCCCAGCTGTCCAAAAGTAGCCCATGTGGTCTATATGTAGGTTCTTCGTTAGCCCCATGGTAATAAGTTCCTCATGGCTAGACCATTGACGAGGTCGCTGAATGGGTGAAGATCTTGGCACGACGCCCTCTTAATTCAGGAACTTTTTCACCGAGAGAAACTATTCCTATGGTACCTCGTCATCCCTGTTCCCCGGATCTCGGTCTCGGTGACTTTTTCCTGTTCCGAAACGACGCTAAAGGCAGCAAGACGTTGGCGCAATTAAAGCGAACGTGACGGAGGAGCTCAACGGCTCGCTAGGAGACCTCCAGCGATGTTTGCAGAAGAGGCAGGAGCGTCGGTGTTGGTGCATATAATCAGCAAGGGGACTGCGAAAAGGAATATCGAGGGAGACTGTTAGCTCCGCTCGTGTATACTAACAATTGTATTATTCTCAGTATTTTTTAATCAGGTCTTGTATTCCTGAAGGGTGCCTGAATTGTCTCAACTTAATGTTCGTTGATCCTTTTCATTGGAGGACCAGAACTTCGCGAAGGAGGAACGACAAGTCGTGTTCTGTATAGTCTTGTTTTGTATTATCCTTTATTATTTAAAGACCATACGAGTAACGAACCACCCTGATACGAGTCATAATAATTCCAGAGTATAGATCATCGAGTGGACTCTTGTCGAACGATAACTGAGATACATGATTCATGTCCTCCAGGTATAATGCAGCAGGATAACGCCGAGCAAGTGATCCTGGACCCGAAGTTAATCGCGAAACACTACCTCAGGACTTGGTTCTTTCTCGACCTCATTTCCTCCATACCACTAGACTACATTTTCCTCATATTTAATCAAGTAAGTGCACATTAATATATCGACGGCCCGACGCACGTGTCCCTCGCTTTAATACGTTAATCGGCTTCAGTTCCTCGGTTCAGACCGACTCGATTTATGTAATTAATGTATTTACACGCGTTTGCTTAAATGTTCCCCTCCTGGACCTTACGATCGCGAATATCTTACTTAAGGATACTTTTTAATTACCGTAGAGCATCGTCTTCTAAGTTACGTTCGTTAAACATGGTACATCTCTTCGAGTTGCAGTCACCACTGGCCATTCAATTGCAGACGGATTCCCCTTCCAAGAACATCTTCTTCCTGTTTCTTTCCTTTCACTCTTCCTCGATATGAACCCAGCCCAAGCAACAATCGTGAAATTTCACATCCCCGTCCCTCCAATCGCTAATTCCAGACACAAACCGTCCTGCAACTCGAATAGATCTCCGACGATGAATCCAAACGCCTGATGCGACCGTGTACGTTTCAGTTTCAGGACTTTAGCGAGTCCTTCCAGATCCTGCATGCTGGCCGTGCTCTGAGGATCCTCAGGCTTGCGAAACTGTTGTCGCTCGTTAGGTTACTACGGTTGTCAAGACTGGTGCGGTATGTCTCGCAATGGGAAGAGGTCTATGTGAGTGTTTCCACGATTTCTTATACGAGCACCGTTTTCATTTTTTTTTCGTATCTCATATAATACCCACAGCTCGCGTGACCCTTGTACAAAGAAAGAGAAAAGAAAAAGACCAAAAAGAAAAAAAAAATCGAAAAGCAAAACGAAACAAAACAAAAAAAAGTACAAAGCGCCTCGTCGTTTGTTCCATCGTCAGCGACCACTCGCTGACATGGGTGTACTCGGGCCGCGAACGGAGTCGTTCCCTTTATGTTTTCTGGGGGGCCTGGCTCGATCCGCGAGCCACGAGTCTTTGGAACCGTCATGGCGGCCCGTAGAGAGCACCGGAGAGCAAAGAAGCCCGAAAAAGGCCCTCCGAGTTGTCCGGCCGGCAAATGGAAGATAGGTATCCGTACGATTCGAGGCTCCCCAGTGACGGATCTCTCCCCACCTCCGTGTCGAAGAAATTTTCGTCAGCCTCGATCGAGTCGAGGACCCCCCGAACCTCGCAGGAGCCAGTGTCCAGGCTCACCCAGGTTTCGTTAGGCGACCGAGAACCGACACGACCACCACCACAACAGGGAATCCTCTCACGAAGGCAAACTCGTTAGACCACACGTCTCGCTTTCCGTCTGCTCGATAACACCGAGCGACGTCCCCGCGGTTCTACTCGATCCCCGACTACTCGACGACGAAAATCTCCGAACCACCCTCTGTGTCTCTTCGATGACCCCACGACCACCGTCAACAACTCCCCGGCTCGTGGCGATGGGCGTTCGACCCCCTCCGATTCCCAAAGTTTTCGTCAAGTTTCGTTTACACGTGTCGCTTGGAGTGGCGTTCCGATTGGAGGACGCCTGGGGACGCTGCGGGAGGTCTGGCAGCCCGAAAGTCTTGGTGGCTAAACGGTGGAGCTTCTGGGAAGTTGGAGGAACGTCGAATGGGAGCCCGAGAGCGTGGAACAAAGTCAAGACGCCGGAGCACAGTCAGAGCAGGTGGGTTGCGAAGATTCATATTACTTCAACTGTCCAAGAATTATGTTTAGAGACGAGATAACCATGCATGGATGAGATTACGATGCTTCAGGCAAGGACTGTAGGATTCTGATCGGGATTGGAATATAGCAGAGGCTGTTTAGAGTCGAGAGATCGTGGACAAGGGTTGCTTTGACCCAAGGAGATGTCGAGAAGATTCGGACAGAGATAATAGAGATGTCCTTGTAGTTTGTGAACCATCCCAGACTGAGGATATCTTCGACAGGATCTTAAGATGCGACTACAGCTCAGGAACCTAGGATTCTATTCCTGCAAACGAGTCCTTAATACATCAGCACGTCACAGGTACCTACAACTACTACCTACAACTACTATCTACTACCAACTACTACCTCTACTCGCGAAGAGGCCAGCTCCAAGACTTTCGTTCCATCCAGCGTCTCGGAGGTCTCCCAACCTGGAACAATGTTCGAAGCGACAACCTCCTCCGGAGTATTCAATGAAACGTCACGAGCCCATCGCCACCTGTTCGTCTCACCTAACCGAGGCAACCGTCTGATCGATCCTCCTTCTGTTGTTACTTTTCTATTTGATTTCTTTGATTTCTACAACACGAATACAAGTGGCGCCGTGTCCAAGCGGGCCGAACACACACGTGCACGAGGTCAGGACACGCGAATCTCGAACGGCGATTTGTGTTTCGCGAGATTTCATACTCGTCTCGTTAGCGATCGGTAAGTGATCCTCCTCGAGACGAGGTCCTCGAGGCTCGTTAGGTGCGCGCGCGCGGGGAAGACCCTGTCAGGCTTTGCCGGCTCGTCACGTTGGCCGAGGGAATCCCGATCTCCTCTTTGAAATGGGTCGCAGAAAGGAGGTGCTTCGACGGAGATTCTCGAACTCCCCGACTCATGGTATCGTTTCGACGAGGTTTCGTTTTCCCAGACGCTTCTGCTGTAACGGTTAGAGCGGGTAACACACCTGGGCCTGGTAATCGTCGCAATTAGCGGGCGCCATTCTTCGCAAAACGTGAGAAAACTGTCGGCAACGTTACGCCGGAATTGACCGTAACGAGCCGCGAATTAACGCGTTGCCGCGATCGTTACACTGGAAAGACAAACAAACGGTGGAACGCGCGCGGATCCCAGAGACGTTTGTATCGCTGGGAACGTAAATCTACCGCTGTAATCCCGCCGGAGATCTTTGAGAAACGATTGTTCCGCGGTTGGACCAGACAGGCCAGAGCCGCGGCGTCATTCCCACGTAACGGGTGGGCTGCGGATGTTTGAACTGATGCATGTTTTATGTGCAAGACTGTGGCCAATATGCCCGGAGAACGGGCGAGTAGCGTCATCTTGGACGCGCGGGATACGTACAAATTATGCAGAAGTCATTGGCATCGTAACAGTCGTATTAAACATCGTCATCCACGCCCAGGATCCGCCACGCAGTCCTTATCATCGCGATCGTAACGATTATTGTCATCCGATAGAAGTCAACATCATAGCGACCATCATAATAATTATCATACACGTCGTCATTAATCGTCCAGATTATAATCATGCTCGCCACGATAGTGATCCACTCTGTCAACATCATATCCATCGTCATCGTATCCTATATTGCCAACCGATAGCAGTCAACATCATATCGACCATCATAATAATTATCATACACGTCGTCGTCATCGTCCAGATCATAATCATGCACGCCACGATAGCCAGCCATACTGTAAACATCATATCCATCGCCATCGTAGCAATTATTGCTATCCTATAGCAATCAACATCATAGCGATCATCATAATAATTATCATACACGTCGTCATTAATCGTCCAGATTATAATCATGCTCGCCACGATAGTGATCCACTCTGTCAACATCATATCCATCGTCATCGTATCCTATATTGCCAACCGATAGCAGTCAACATCATATCGACCATCATAATAATTATCATACACGTCGTCATCATCGTCCAGATCATAATCATGCACGCCACGATAGCCAGCCATACTGTAAACATCATATCCATCGCCATCGTAGCAATTATTGCTATCCTATAGCAATCAACATCATAGCGATCATCATAATAATCATCATACACGTCGTCGTCATCGTCCAGATCTTTATCATCCACATCATGATAGCCATCCACCCTGTCAACATCATACCCATTGTCATCGTAGCAATTATTGGCATCCTATAGCAGTCAACATCATAGCGACCATCATATCCATCGTCATCGTCATCACAATCACCATTATATCAACTTGTGTCAGCACCTCAAACATACTTCGCGTACTGTGTATATATGTATATTCTTATCTTACATAATTGTAATTGTTCTTATCGTTTCGTGTATGTTGTGCATATTACTCAATCGCATATTTCGCACATTTTGTCCGTAGCCGAACGGCCGTACGCTTCTCGCACGTCACACATGCACGAACATCCGCAGTCCTCGCGGTCAAAGATAGACCTCGACGATGGTACCAACGTCGAAGGAATCAACTGTGGCTGAAATTCCTGGCTGAAATTCGTGTTCCCCTCCTCAGCCCCGTCTCGAAAGACGCGATCGCAAAGAGTCTCGTCGTCTCACCGCGAACAGACCAACGAATCAATCAGGCTTTCCGTCCAATCGAGAGAGCAACCTCGTCGCGTGCGCTACGTCTCTCGAGAACGTCCCGTTCCCCTCCCTCTGCTTTTCTCCCCATTCTTTTCCGTTCCGTGTTTTCACGTGCCCTGTGTAAGAGGCGCCTGTGACGCGAGAGTCAGGTCCACCTTCTCCATCGTAACGCTGATTATTTCCAAACGTTAAACTCAAAGCTGAAGGATAGACTCCCCCAAGGAGCAATGGCTAAATCAGAGTCAGGTTCCATTTCGGTGGCAGAGGGTCGAGGGAAGAAACGTCTAGCGATTTGCTTAATTAGGGCACCGTCCTCAGGTGTCTCGGTTGGATCGGTTCACGGATTCAGCTTAACAAGCGCTTAATAATCCCGGCAGTAAATTGCTGACCGCAGACACCGGGGAGTTTGCTGAAGAAGTTCGAGGTAACCGGATGCTGAGAGAGTAGGTGTCGGTAATTAGACGAGCCGTTTCGTTGATAAACGCCAGGGATCAATAGCGGCTCGTACGTTGTAGCGTAGACGAGTTGTTCTACTCGGAAGGGGCGATAGACGTCCTCCATAGGGATACGATAGGGCAAATATTTGACGTATCTTCGAGGCTCCATTCGGATGTACATCCTACATCGATTTTGTCCCAGTCGGTGAAGTGTCGTCTTATCAGGGGATTGCGACACCGTTTAGGACTCCTGGAGGAGCGCTAGCAAACACTGGCACGCCTCCGCAGGGCTACCGAAAAATCAATCGACCATCCAGCTTCACCCGACGCGTCGTTTCCCCGAAATTCATCCCGTTCTGCGGCGCCAGTTCCGCGACACGGGGATCGTTTTAGGAACAAGGCGCGCGGAGGCGTTTCCACGAGAGCCTCGCGCGTGTCCTTGACTCGAGCAACGTCGACGGATTAGCTAAAAACCGGTTGCTTAATGAAACGCTGCATACACGGCCGTATGAATAGGTCTGGTTCTCACCGAATCTAGTTCAGACACTATTCAATACTTCGGAGATTAGTTCTAGTTTTAGACTTAGACTGTGATTTATACACGTGGTCCAGTCGCGATACGTTCCGTGGATCGTTCAGGAGTTTTGAATGCAACTTGGAGATGATTCGCGCCAGTGGTACCGGTGTTTGAATATTAAAGGATACTTTGACTTAGTTATCATGCGAGTGTATAAGGTAGATCGGTAAAGCAGAGTGTTTCGTGGGTAGTGCAGCGCACTCTGTAGGTAAGAGTCGGTAACATAGCACGCTGGGTCGGTAAGACAGGTCGGTAAGACAGGTCGGTAAGACAGATCTGCTGAAAATGCAGAATGTGAAACATTCTGTGCGTTCAGGGACGAATCTAGAGTCACGCGTTAACCTTTTCGTGTAAGTTTCTCGAGTCACTGTACCACCAGCGCGAGCCACGCATTATCGACTTTAAATTACCGACTGTACTATCTGAACGAAATCCTCAGGGCAAACTCGATACTGGACACACTACCTCGAGCCAAATAGTCTCTGCGTTCAGCCGAGAATCCCCGCGACCTCCCTCTCGACACCAAGACACAAAGAACACAATACAAAATGAAGTACCAGGCGTATTGCGAGAACACGTTTCCGAATGGGTTTACAGATCCCCCTTTATCAACAGCCGGAGAGGCACTACGAGCGTCGGGCGACACCGCCCCAACCAGACCGAACCAGCAAGGTGTGCCTGCCTAGTAACCCCGAAACCAAGGCCAAATGTCCTTTCTTGATTCAAGCGTTCGTTAACTTAAAACTCAATGTTTCTACGTATAAATATAAATTTTTACATACATATATATTACATATATATATATACGTTAGATCATTATTACTATATTGTTTTTTTTGTTACGGTGATTGGTTATTATTATCGTTTTATCGACTGATTATCGTTGTTCGTTTGGTTTGGAAGTTTCCTCTAGAGAACGTGTACAGCCTTGCCGTGTATACCTATACTCTGTTCTGTTCAGTATAGCCAGGATACGTTTTTACCGACCACACCAAGCCCGATACCACTATCACACCCGTTTCAAGAAGCGTCCACGATCGAGAGCTTCCCACGACACGTCTCGATTTAGTTTCCGTGTCTTCTCTTACGTTGTTAGAGCTCGATGTTGCACGATGTGAAATGCCCTATAGAATAGAGCGGAGCTGGGCACCCCGAACGCTTCGGTGTACGGCGAGCGCGCGAACTAGAGGCGCCGCCGGGCGTTTCAAGAAGGCAGTGGCGGCGCCAGAGGGACAGGTGGCGCTACGAGTGAACTCACGTGGACTGGTGGCGCCACGAGTGAACTCACGTGGACTGGTGGCGCCACGAGTGAACTCACGTGGACTGGTAGCGCCACTAGTTCATATTCCACGAACCGAAGTGATCGGGATGCCCCCGCTGTGGAATAGAAGATAGAGCGACACACCTTTGTTTGTTCTGTGTGCATTGCATCGTGAAGATGTCGTGAGCATTCGATATCGATAGTATCTGGATATGAACTAGTGGCGCCACCTGTCCACGTGAGTTCATTCGTGACCACGAATGAACAGGTGGTGCCATTAGTTCGTATCCCACGGGCTGAAGTGATCGGGATCCCCCCGGCCTGGAATAGAGGATAGAGCGATACTCCTTTGTTTGTTCTGTGTGTATTGCATCGTGAAGATGTCGTGTGCATTCGATATCGATAGTATCGAAGTCTAACGAAGGGAGCTCTTGGTCGTCGGGTCGTTAGTCCCACCGTAGAGTGTCACATGGATCTCGAGCAACAGATCGTCAAAGACGATTCCAGGAAACGTTGAAAGTGATCGCGGGGACCTGTCCCCCGGCGATCCATGTCACACTGCCTAGATCCTTGCGAGAGTTGTTGGGAACGATTTGACATACGAAATGCTGTCACGTTTTGTTTGTTCCGGGGTCTTGTTTGGATTCTCCTGTCAGGATGTCAACGGTTTCGTTAGCATAGTCGCCGCGTCGTGTCGAATACCGGCAGCCTGACTCTCTCGCCGGCCTGACACGACACTGGTGCGCATGTATATCGATCGTGCGGATCGACGGCTGGCCATTAAAGCTGTTTTCGCTTGCGAACAAGTTCCGCGCGCGATGGTGGGACGCGTGCATGTGACTGTTCCGCGCCGATAGAACGACGACGATTGAGAATCGCAACTCCTGTTCTCCGAGTCGAGGAGGATAGAGCTAGAGTATACCGTAGGGAGGGTTGGCGAAAAGAACCGGAGCTAAACAAACAAAAGCGTCTACGAGACAATGGCCGGTAGCTGTGAGATATTCGGCACGACGCGCTCCACGTGGCTGCTCTACAGACGAGAAAGTTGGACTGATCGTAGGTCTGCCTGTGCGTGTTAGGTGTACATTAACCCTGTTTGCCCGACATTTTTTGGCGATGTGCCCGTTGTTCAGTGTGCGATCCCCCCTCCACGTTTCTCTCCACAGCCCACTCCTCCGATTCACGCTCCCGAGTACCTTCTCGCCTCCAAACGTACTCCGACGACCCGGCCCCAAGACCAGCGTTACGATTCGTTCCCTCCTCCCCTCAGTTGCTTGCTATTCCGTGCTGTTTAGATGCCTGGTTTTTGTCCAAGTTGCAAAGGTTTGAGACGCGATTTCTGTTCACCCGTTATCCTTCTTCTTTTTTCTTTCGTTTTCTTCTAATTTCGTTCGTTCCTTGCGTTGCCTCTGTCTGGACCCAGTGAATTTAGACGTGGTCGGTCGGTTGTTCCGTAGATCAGTAGATGTTTTTCGTCTAGTCGGTCGATCCTAGATTGTTAGCTCCCCGAGACGGATGCAGCATGCGGTTCGACGATCGATCGATCGAGTGTGTCGTCTAGTTTTTCGCGACGTTTGCATCCTTCGGATCGGTGTTCCTTGTTTGGCGTTGTCCCCGTGGTTGCTCCTTGTCGTTTGTTTTTCTGCTCGTGGGAATGCTGTAGCGCAGACGCGTCGATTCCGTCGCGGAACGAAATTCAGTGGTCTAGGACAGTCCGTCCTCAGCCGTTCGACGTTCAACCTGGGCGGATTAGCATTTCGATCCTCCGGTAACCGAGAGGATTTCGTCCGGAGTAAAATCGACCGATGGATCGTGGATGTTCGAGAATGTATCACATGCACGGAAAATATCGAAATGAAGCGAGTTCCAAGAGGTTCAGAGAGTCATTTGAAACAACTTTTTCCTTAGGGAAAATGTTGCCCGAGGCTTCGTTAAGGAGATATTAACGGAAACCCCGACCAAGCAGAGCGTGAGTACGCCGGTGGACCATAGCCTACACTAATGCGGCCGTCTAGCGCGTAGCCTACACTAATGCGGCCGTCTAGCGCGTAGCCTATTCTACTGCGGCCGTCTAACGCGTAGCCTACACTACTGCGGCCGTTTAGCGCGTAGCCTACACTACTGCGGCCGTCTAGCGCACCGCGGCCGTCTAACGCGTAGCCTACACTACTGTGGCCGTTTAGCGCGTAGCCTACACTACTGCGGCCGTCTAGCGTACCGCGGCCGTCTAACGCGTAGCCTACACTACTGTGGCCGTTTAGCGCGTAGCCTACACTACTGCGGCCGTCTAGCGTGTAACCTACACTACTGCGGCGGCCTAGCGCGTAGCCTATTCTACTGCGGCCGTCTAGCGCACCGCGGCCGTCTAACGCGTAGTCTACACTACTGCGGCCGTTTAGCGCGTAGCCTACACTACTGCGGCCGTTTAGCGCGTAGCCTACACTACTGCGGCCGTTTAGCGCGTAGCCTACCCTACGCACCGCGGCTGTCTAGCGCGAACCCTATACTACTGCGGCCGTCTAGCACGTAACCTACCGTCGGGGTTTTCTGTCAATATCTCCTTAACGAAGCCTCGGACAACATTTTCCCTAAGGAAAAAGTTGTTTCAAATCACTCCCTGAAGCACCCCTTTCAAGGACCTCCAACATGTTTGCGACACCCTGTATATAGTTTCCAGTTACACGAGAACAAAATTTGAGCTTCACAAATATTTGCACGACTTTGTCTGGCACTCGCAGACGTCGATAGGCTAACTAGCCGGAAAGCATTAACGAATGCTCGGCATACTTGCATATAAAACACGCATTTGCATAAACATCCGATCGAATTGGATTCCAAGCGAGTAATCGAGCATTATCCCGAATAGCTGATCAGACAGCGTCCAGGAATGTCGACGAGAACGCGAGACGTTCCCTGTACAAGGTCCAAATGAGTAACGTCGATTACGTTTGGGTTCTTCCCCGTTTCGAGAGTCCCGCGAGGACGTCGTCGGGTAATAATACGTTGCTTTCTCGACGCCCACGCTAACCGCCGCCTCGAGAACCCTGACCGAAATGGACCTCGGAGCACGATTAATCATAGCTGTCGCGGTGAGGTGATAAATTACAGGTTGCCCCGCGAATTCGCGCCACCCTTTAGCTCGTCGATTCTCGTTTCGCGGGACACACCCCGACGAGGGCACACGGCCATCGCCGTTTGTATTTTTCGACGAGTAAGATGGCGGCGCACAGCTGGGATCGATTGTTTCCTGGTTCGAAAATGCCCCGAGGAGCTTCGCGGAAACGTAAACGAAAGAGGAAAATAAATTCCGCGTCGAAGACCGTATCAACTAAACTTCGACGTTGTTACGCGAGAATTCCAAGCACCGCGCGCGAAACAGCGTCGGTTGGGATGTTTCTCAGAGTCCGACTCGGCTGTTACGTAAACCGTAAGAGTAGAGGGGAGATAATTGGTCCGAACAGACTCTGACCGGTCGCCGAGAGATATACTCTGCGAATATTCCTCGCTCGACGAGTGTTTCTGTTACAATTTTTTTTTTTTTCGAAGGAGCTGGAATTTCAAAACTAACCTATCCTCTCGCGTTCGGCGCTATTACAGAGCGAATACGAACGTGGGATGTGCTCAGGACTCTGGTAACGAGGATCCGATTTTCAAAATTAATTTATTAAATTTGGACGCTCGTCCGGTTGTTGGTTCAACTCGAAGCCGATGAACGCAACAGGAAAAATGCGATAGAACTTATACGAGTTGCCATGTGTGATTCCGTCGAATAAGCAGAGTCACGTGACCGAATCACATGACCGAATCACATGACCTCATCACGTGACCACACCCCGTGACGATTTCGCTCCGAGTTGAACCGGTAACGGAGAGCTGCGCAAAAGGCCAGAAGTTTGCACAAAGGGAAACAATTTCAAACCTTCCCGAACCCATTCCCACTCTCGACACTTTTATAATTTTCGACCGTGGCCTGTTTTCGCCGTTTTACCCCTTCAACCCTCAGGAAAGACGAACGTTCAGACAACGTTGATTTCCAAAGAACATTCGCCACTCGAGTGTCGCCTCTCGCCAATCGGAAATCAGCACTCCCCAACGAATCTAGAAATCGACGCGGGTCGACTCTCTTTTTGCTTGGCCACGAAGGCTCCAGAAACCAAAATAAAAAAAAAAATAATAATAATAATAATAAATATCGTAACGCCAACTTTTCGATCATCGAAGCTACCCGCTAAAATCGATCTCTCGAGCCTGTATACGAGCTTGACCAGAGACTGCGGCTTCACGCTTGGGGCGACTGCTGCAACGAAAGCTTGATACCAAAGAATGGCTTCTTGATTCTTACTTCTTAATTCACGAACCATTTATTACTATTATATTACTATTATTACGATTATTATATACGTTGTATACTTATCACACTTCTTATTGATATTATTTTATCGTTATTATCGTTACCGTTATTATCATTTCGTTATCCTTATGTGCCGTCGACGGTCAACTTGTGCCACACACCGACCTTCCACCCACACTTGCGCCAATACAACCCTTTCATCGCGTCGCACGCTCCTACCTCGGCGAAAGTACAAGGAAAACTGGAATGAAAAGAAACGCCACGAGAAGACACACGAGATACATAGCGCAGAGTGCTCTTACAGAGGCGAATCGCGTCACGTGATGTTCCATTTCGAATATTACCGAGCTCTCGTTCGCTTAGTCGACGAGAGACACAATTTGATTTAATTAGATTTAATGCCGTCCGTCAATCGGTCGAACAGGGATAGAAGAAGGAGAGAAGGAAAAAAGAACGGCATTAAATCTACATGGCTCACTCTTGTCGCGACTCAGCTACGATCGTTTTTGTCGCGCGATTTTGTCCCAAGACACAATCGATCGTAGCTGATCCGCGGCAAGAGTGGAGTCATCGTGTAGGTTCTATTCGCGCTAACTTCTCAAGACGCTTTTGCCAATTTGATTTAATGCCGTCCTTCAATCGGTCGAACAAGGATAAAAGAAGGAGAAACGGAAAAAAGAACGGCATTAAATCTAATCGACAAAAGCGTCTTGAGAAATTAGCGCGAATAGAACGCGGCCCACTCTTGCTGCGACTCAGTTACGATCAATTTTGTCGCGCGATTTGTCGCGCGACAGTCAATTATACTGTGAGTGACGTTGCAAGCGGTTGCTACTAAGTTGCTGCCGCTTCAGCAGATGGCGCCATAGCAGTCCCGCGAAGTATTTGAACCGTTACAAACTCGAACAATCCTCAGGCTTCCCCGAAAGACAAGAATGTCCGTCGAAGACTTTTCTACAAGAAAATAACCAAAATAAAAAATAACCAAAGGTACCTCCGACCGTTTCGCCTCCGTAAAACTGTTCTGCGACACATATAAATACACGGACGAACGGAACGAACGAACGGAACGTGACACCGTACCCACCCACGTGTCTCTGTTACGATTATTTTGTATTTCTCTCTTGTTTTATTTCTCTCGGTTATGTGCCCCTCCACGTGACCGCACCGAGTCAGCGTTCGAGAAGAAGACGGATCGAATCGAGATAATCGGCCCCGTCGTAGATCCCTGCGATCGGCGATCGATCGCGCGACGAATCGACGATGGCGGAGTTAACGAGAGAGAAAAATGTGGCGTTCGTTGTTCCGATCGCTGACGTTCGTATGTCGTTGCGCTTTCCAGCTACGGACGAGTCCCAGTCGAGAAAGCGAACGGGGATTGTCCTCGTGGAGGATCCGTCGAGATCCTCCTTCGAGGAAGACGGGGACGCACGCTGTGCCCTCCTGGCGCGCCCCCTTGGCAGGGCCTGAATCGTAGGAGTGCAGAATTGAGAGAAGGAAAGATCGATTCGCAAAAGAAACGAATGAAAAGCAAATAATTTCGAAAGATGAAGAAGGAAAATTGATCCCTGTCGCCTTACACCGAAGCCTGCTCCTTCTGTTTTCTCTTCCCTCTTTGTCACTGTCTGTTTTTTCGTCTCTAATATATATGTATATGTATATACATGCATATATATATATACATACTGTACAAAACACATCTGTCGACCAATCGATGGCCCCCAAAACGAGTACTTTCGTTCCACTCACAATACTTCGTTCTTTTTCCTTTCTCTGGTTTTTATTTACCTTTCACTTTACGTTCTTCCGTTTTATCTCACTTATTTCTGTCTTCTTCTCTGTCTATCTTCTCTCTGTCTCTCTCTTGATAACCTGGCCTTTTTCTTACTACGTCTTGCTATGTCCCGCTTTCTTTTGTTTCTAGATATTGCAGAACCTACAAAAAAAACGCACTGAGCGGAGGGGGCGCCTAAGTTCTGACAATATGAATAAAAAGAAGTCCGGTTTCAGCAAAAGCGACCTTATTTTTAAGGTAACCCGCCCTAACGAACGCGCGAGCTCGCGTCCACGGGGTTCACGGGGTCACCGTCGAACCCGCCTCGAGACCACTTCCGTCCCGTTTTCATGAGACCCGAACGAAGGACGCCGACTCTGTCCGTCGACTCCCCACCGTGTCTCGTTCTCCGGAAACCGACACTGCGACAGGCCCCTCCCCCCAACCCCCGACTCCTGCCGAAGGGTAAATTTCCGCCTCGAGTTCTCGCGAGGGGGTCCGAGAGTGCTAAAAAAAAAAAAAAAAAGATAAAAACGAAAACCGGAAACGACCAGTGCTCGGGAAGTCTTGAGACATAGGGACGCGCTTGCGGCGGGAAAAAGAATAAACACGACGAATTCCCGAGAGGACGAACGAATAAAATGCGGAGCGCAGAATGCGTACAAAAAAAAAAAAGTAAAAAAGAAAAAGAAATTAAGTAAAGAGTCTCGATGGTCCCTCAGTCGACGTCTCAGAAAACAGGCACGGCGATCACGAGGACGCTGGACGCAGGAGCTGTACGCTGATTGGCTCGTTGGTTTATTACAAACATTCGCTTCTACTTTCCGCCGCATTATACATTACATATTACCCGCAGCAATAGGCTATGCTTCTATACATTCACCATCGGCACCCGCCTAGCGATGAGAAAGTACCAAACTGTGTTTATATATATATATATATAAATATATTAAGTATATATGTATATATATATATACCTTTTTTTGTTGTGTGACGTGTTTACGATACGTTAGAGTGTAAAAGAGCTCACACCAAGTCCAGTGACAGAAGCGACCGAGGACTCGGCTCTTGAGAAAGTCCTTCGAGAGCTCGATACTCTCTTCGAGTCGTGTTTTCTTTCTTTCTTTTTTTTTACTGAACTGTCTCGTCGAGATCGACGAACCTAATCGCGGCCCCCGTGCGTCGCGAGCCAATTTGATGAATAAAAAAAGAAAGATCGGACGTCCCCCTGAGAACGTCTATACTCGTGGATCCCACCCTCTTTCGCTTTCTTTCCGTCTGTTTCTCACGTTACTCTGTCTTATTTGCAACTCTTATTTGTAACTCTTATTTTTTATTTTTTTTTTTTTTTAAACTTTGTCCAATTCTCTGGTTTCGTTACCGCGGAGTTTTTCTTTCTCTCCCTTGGATAAGTCGCTCCCAGTCGGTCCACCGAGGTCCACAGTTCCCTAGGAACATCAGCGCCCCTTTATCCTGGGTCTTCGGGAGCGTCGAGCCAGAGGAACACGTCGGCCGCACTCTGTACCAGCTCGCTGTCCACGCGCGCTGTCTCTCGAGACGCTTTTTTGATCGCTAGACGGTGTGCACGATCCTTTGGAAACGAGCGCACGTTGATTGGGCGTCCCTTCTCTGTCGCTTTGTTGCAAAACGCACACTGTGCCGCTGTTGGCGATGGGCGCCCGACGAGTTCCCGCGCCGCGAGTCGCGATTTGCTTTGGATGTCGGCCGGAGTCCAGTGTCGAGGGTCTAGGCTCGGCCTAAAGCCTTGGGACAGAGGTTGGAGGGTCACCTTAGTAACCTTAAAAGGGAGCTAGGTCACCTTGGTAACCTTAGGAGGGAGCTGGGTCACCTTTGGTCACCTTTGGTCACCTTTGGTCACCTTTGGTCACGAGTCCCTGGGAAGGACTCGAGGGTTGTCGACGTAATACTGTGCTGGATGGATCGCCAGTGATTGGGTTGACCTCTAAGAAGCCCTCGCTTGACTGCTTTCAACATCTTCTAAATCCTAGAACACTTATTATTATTGTTTGGAGCGTCCCACTGTTCGAACGTCTCAGCTCCCAGGGCCAGTAATCCTAGTTCACGTGTCTTCTCACGAGGCGAATAGACAGTATTCTCTTCTTTAAGAAGTTTAATCATGTTCATACACCGTAGCTTCTAATGCCAGCAACCCTCGAGACAAGTAAGCTATTGTTCAGAGAATCCCACTGAACCGATTCGAATATCTGAAACAGGTCCCAATCGTAGAACGTGTGTCTCCATATTATTATTGTTTTGATAGTTCCAGTGTTCAAACATCTCAGCTCCTAGGGTCAGCAATCCTGGACTGTATCCCTTCTCGCGAGAGTTCGCCATTAGAGCACAAAGAAGGACTCTGCGCGATGACCAAAGCTGTCCAAACGTCCCGTGGGTAGCTCTGCTTTTCCTCTTCTACGTCTACCGATAGGTTGGCCTCGCTACACTTCTAGCAAACCGCCGAGATCGCTTTCCGTAACTGGAGTACCACCGCGCACTGGTCCTGATGTTTCCCAGACCCTGGAATACTACTCCGTTGGAGACTATTCCGTTGCATTTAGCTTGGACGGGCATTCAAAGCGATTCGAGTGGGTCTCGTTTCACGTGTTCCAAGCGATTCGACGCCCCGTCGTGCCCATCGCTAACCATCATCGCGAGATCCTTTCCGCCCGAACGAATATTCCCCTCCCTCTCGTCCTGCCGCCCCCTTGTACGTGGCGCATCGCTGTTCTTTTCCTAGATGAGTGACGAAAACGGAAATGAAACGAACCAGAAAGGAAACAGAATAACAATTAGGGCGCAGTGTATGAGAGTAGAGAGCTCGCTACCCCTACCGCTGCTCTGCGACTTTCTCCTCTCTCTCTCTCTTTCTCTCTCTTTCTTTCTCTCTGTCTCTCTCTGTCTCTCGCCTCCTTATCCCACGCCCCTTGAGCCTCTGTTGCTTCTCGGCCAAGAAAATGTGCACCCCTTTTGTGATACTGGCTGGCTGTCTGTGTGGCTGCAAGCAAAGGCGCAGGGAAACAGAAAACGACTATAAACGATATAGCGATAGGAAGAGGTGGCTTGCTTCGTTGCTTAGAGCCTGGCTTTTTCGCCGCTTGATGATTGTTTGACTTGGCAGCTGGCGTTCTTTTACGTTCTCCGTCTCTCTCACTCTCTATCTATCTCTGTCTGTCTCTATCTCTATCGTTTTTCTCTCTATCTATCTATCTATCTCTCTGTCTGTCTCTCCCTCCGCCAAACCCCGACACCCATCCGCCCAACCCCATCTCCCGTTATTTTCATTTCGATTCTCTCGTATTTCCTTTCTCGTTTCGCGTCGTTTGTGTTCTCACGTTTTGTTTCCCTTTACACGTTCTTTTCTTCTTTTTCACGTTTCCCTTTATCCTTTGTTTTTAACGTTGTTGCGTTCGTCTAACCCTACGTTTTAGTCGCTTGAACACGCCGGGAGAACGTTCGACCTCCCGATCGGTGATCGCCTCCTTTGGCACCAGTGTCGGTTTGCCTTTTTTCTTTCTTTACTTTCCGTCTCTCTCCCCCCGCCCCTCACCTTCGTTTATCTTCTCGTTGCGTTCTTTTTTTTTACTTTTCGTTTTGTTTGGTTTTCTCGTTGCGATTACGTTTTGTCGTTGATTAGTAACGCTGTCTCGTCACGCGCGCACCTGTGCGCGCGTGTCCGCGCGTCCATGCGCGCGCGTATGCACGTGCGTGCACCGCGCGTGCGTGTAATATCTAGAAAAGAAAAAAAAAAAAAAAGAAAATGTACGCCATGTCGTTAACCGACCGTTTCGGACGTATCATTAGCTGTTCATTTGTTACCGTGGAGAGTCGTTACCGAACCAAAAAAAAAAAAAAAAAAAAAAGAAAAAAAAGCTTTCGTCTTTAAATGGACTTGTGACTTGTCTCTTGTAGAACAGAAGGTTGGATGTTCAGTTTTCTATGTATATGTACATGTATTATCGTTCCTTTGTTCGTCTCGTTGACTTTCCTTAGTTGATTTTACGTTGAGTATTACTTTTCTTGTTTTACTGAATGATTCGATACCATGAGTTACATGCATATATCCACTATGCGCGCGCTCCCATGCGCGATAGTTTAACCACGTGCCATTATTTATACCGCGCGCAACCAACCAATGTGTAACCATCGACTCTACGTAGCGTGCGTGCGCGCGCACGCGCGCTCCCGTGTATGTGTGCCGCATGACAATGTTTGTTAGTTTGTTCTGTTTCCGTTGTTATCATTTTTTTTTTTAAATCTAATTTCGTTTAATTAATGCCAGGTAATGTATTAAACTAGTTGTGGTCTAGCAGTAAGTTTTCATCGCCCCGCCCCCTTGAACCCCGCCCCGCCCCCCCCCATCGTTTATTTGCCCCCAGTACATTGTCCAGTAGGCGCAGCAAACTATACATGAAATTTATCAGCCATGGATCATCCACGATAGAGACGCGATCATCCCACGCCCGTTGGTGTAGTTAGGCAAGACTCTGTGTGCTTTGTTTATTTTTGTTGTCTCCGTCGAAATCGAATGACCAACGCGTCGATTCGGGGAAACCGAGGTCACGGGACACCGTCGCCCTCTGGCGGACCCGATCGCCGCCATTTGATTTCGAGACGAGCGATCGAACCGTGGTTGCCCGATACTCGGAAAAGGATCGCTGGAATTTTTGTGGAATTAATGGCTGCATTCAGCAGGAACGATTGTCGAGCGATTCTCTTGGATTCTCTGCTTTGATTCGACTATTCGAAGCGACCAAAAGAATCTTAGCAAAGAATCCAAGAAAACGACTCGACGATTGCCTCTGCTGAATGCATCTATCGCTCGAACGATGTTGTACCCGTCTCTGAATCCACCGAGACTGCCATCTGTGGAGCCATTCGTTCCTGAAACTCGGCATTGACCACCCACCGTCGCGTTTTTGTACAATAAAGTTAATCACCATGGTGTTTCGAAGAGGTGGTCTCCCAAGGGATTCCCCGAAAGAAAATGGCGGGCCGAACAGCGCCACCCGTGGCCTGTACAGTAACTGTAATCGACCCGGACGGCGCTGGTGTCGCTTCGTCCATTTCCTGTCGGGATTACCCGCATTTTCGAAATCTATAACAATCTAAAAATGAAATTACCGCGTTCTACCAAGATGAGATCAGAAATTAACGCTTCCTTTGGCGCCAGTTCCAATATTAGCTCTTGGTTCTGGTTCTTATTGTTCTCCTTACGACGTTCGTTTTGGCTCCAGCAGATGGCGCGACCAAACCGATCGCGACCGGGTTTGGTCGGAAATGAAACGATAAGATAGAAGATAAGAACTGTCTTGGCCGAGTATCGGGCCGCGGTTGAAATTGGAAAACTTGCTCGAGATCGGTCGCGGATTAACCCCGAGGTCAGAGATCGTTTCCCGCGATCGGCTGCCTCCTTTGGGGCGCGTTTCCAAACGCGGAAGCGGAAACGCGCGCCCTCGCGTGAAACGTGTGCTGTACATAACCACGATACGCGCATATACCATCGTATACCCCACGAATACCGATCCTTAGACTCGTAGCCCTTGGATCGATTGGAGGGCGCAGCGTCACCTTTGACGAGCTAGCTAATCGCCGACTTGTATTCGAAGAATGAAATACGAAATTGGTCATTTCAAATTGGAAGAATGTAAGGTTTGGAACGGTCGATATTTGAAAGGCAATGTTGGTACTAATGAAAATGAAATAATAACTCTTGCAAGTATATACAATATAGCTTCAAAGACAATGTTGATACTCATGGAAATGAAAGAAATCTTGCAAGTATATGTACATATTTAAAAATTGTTTGGAAATGAAGGAGCTGGGATAAAATATGACATTGCGAAATTGGTAATTCTATTCTAAATTGG